AGCGCGTCTCAGGCACATGAATAACTGTCTTGGATCCCACAACGAAGTGAATCAGAAGATATTATAAGAGGAGAAGTATTATAATGATGTATTATTATCACTACGTAGTATAAAAACAAAGTCGCTATCCGCCGTCTGTCTGTCCCTATGTATGCTTAGATCTTTAAAACTACGCAACGAATTTTGATGCAATTTTTTTAATACAGTGATTCTTAAGTAAGGTTTATATGTATAATACGTGTATAATGCACCCATGCGAAGCCGGAGCGGGTCGCTAGTGTATGTATAAAATAAAGCAAACACAACAAAATCACTCTAAACTTAACATTAACAGCTACAATATAGATTCGATCCTGAAAGTTCACAACCCAAGCCATAATTGACGTAACATTACTTAATTAACAGTTAATGCAATTAAGTTTCTAGTGTACACACTAATTATGTACCTCATTTAACTGGTGTGATCGTTATTGTTAACATAATATAATTAATATTGACTGTTGTGTGTGTTTGGTCGTGTGGTTCCAGGTGTAACCGCTGATCTTCGAGTGCGAATGCTGTTAATTTGAATAATTCAATTCTAAAGCAAGTAAGACATTAAAAAATATTAAAAATAACATCATAACATCACGCCTTTTATCCCCGAAGGGGTAGGCAGAGGTGCACATTATGCCACTGTACAATGTAACACCTACTTTTCACTATTTATGTTATGAGTCCCATGTAATAGGGGGTGAGCCTATTGCCATATACCGGGCACATTTCCAGACTCCGTGCTACTACTGAGAGTTTTTTTTTAAAAACCCAGTAATACTTTGCCCGACCCGGGAATCGAACCCGAGACCCCATGCCCGGCAGTCGCACTTGCAACCACTCGGCCAACAATGCAGTCAACATTAAAAATATACATTCTTATGTTAAACGTTGTTAATAAACTCTATTTTGTTGAGGATCAACTCCTCGGGATGCTCCGTGGAGGAGCAAATCATATGTCGAGAGTGGTTCGAGTGGTTTGTTGAGTGTCGTGTGTGTGTTTTGTGTCGCATCTCTGCTGCATGAGCGTTTATCTGCGGGCGGGGGGCGGCGCTGCATACTGCATGATGCAAATTAATTCCTTTAGCGGAATAGGAAATAAACATTTTCCCAGTTGTTAGTGTTTAATTATAATAGATAGGGTTTGGCAATTCATGTTCTATTTAATGGGACTAATAAAATAACAGACAAAATCGATATACAGGTACTATCAATGCAATCTCTGTTTGACCCTCCAGTGAACACCGCGTATCAGACATTATATACTAGCTTTTACCCGCGGTTTGCTCGCGTCGCAAAAGGATAAAAAGTAGCCTAGTAAAAGTGTGACATATACCAATACACACAGCGCCATCTATACCAATACTTTTGTTTTCCCTCGGGATATCAAATTTTTCAGGGATAAAAGTACCCTATTATTTAATCCGGACTTCTAACTTTACGTCTACAAAAATTTAAAGCAATCGGTTTAGTAGTTACGGTGTGAAGGCGGAACAAACAAACAAACAAACAAACAAACTCACTTTCCAATTTATAATATTAGTAAGGATTAGTAAGGATGCTAACAATGTACCACGTTTGGAGTTCTTTGACCTTGAGAAAGAGACGAGTCTAACGACGTCAAAGTATGATATTGTAAGAAACAAAAGCAAAAAGTAGAGCTTAACCAAAAAGAAAGTAAACTACCCAATTTTTTCAGAAGAAACTGACATCTTAAAGTACAAAGTCGTGTTATTTTTCAATCCCTTTTTCACATTGAACGTAAGGAAACATACTCCTAATAATTATTTCTTTTTTTACCATGTAAGGTAGTGTTGGAGCATCTTTGGCGTGATGCCAAGCCCGACTCAGCTGAACGAACCATGCACCACTGGCACAGTGATGCGCCAATTATCGATAATTTTCATCGATAACGAACGTGACTGTGATTTTAGGTGAAGATTGTCAGTTTTAGATGCGGATTAAATTTTTAGAGATGGGAGGTTATTGTGTTTGTTTGTTGATTTTCTGGGTATGTTTTGTTGATGATTTGAAGTCAAGGTTAAAGTATATAAATTAATTGGGGAGTGAAATTTAAAATAATTTTTGTAAAACAAATAAAATGATTTTCACTTCTATTTAACCCGTGAAAACTAGCCAGAAGTAAAGGTAGCATTTTTTGTCAGAATTCACATTAAGTATCTGATGTTATTTCTTCAATAATATTAACATAATGAAACCAAAGTGAATAACTTATACTTCAAAACATACTATTCCCCAATCCCAACCCAAAAAATTATAACTTCACCAACTAAGACAACTCAAATAAAACATCGACAAAAAAAATAATCTATCGACAATACCACCACATCCCTGCAAGAATCGTTGTCAATAATCGACTAGGTATAGACCGCACTGTCTTATCTTCCCCTATACTTGCTACTCTTATGTTCAAGCTAGCTCCATGCTGGGCCAGCAGAATGCTAGGTGCTGTTTTAAATTCAACCGTTGTACCACACACATCAAGCTACGCAAAACCAGTATAACGTGACCTCTAAATGTACTGAGAGATCATATCAAGTAAGACCATGATAATATGGGTTTGTGTAAGTTGATGTTTGATCGCTTTCGTAAAAACTTTTTGAGTTGAGAAAAACGTATTGGATCAATTTGGTTTTGATTGAAGTTTGTTTTTCACTGTTGGTGAAGTTTAAATTTTCGCTTAAAGGTTCGCGAGTGTGACTATTGAGCAAGGGGTTTTGGGTTCGATACCAGGGTCGAGCAAAGGGTGAAGCATTATTTGGGTCTTATTTTTAGTACTTAGGTAATAAGCACGCAGTCTGGAATTGGATATTTTACTTAATCAAAAATAAATTATTTCGACTGTTCAATACCATAAAATATTAAAAAATAGTCACATTATCATTAATTGATTTTGTGACCAACTTAATTTTAGTATTTTCCAGAATTTTTTTAAAAAATAAGTACGCTGTTTGACGCTAAAAAAACGTGACGTCACAATACACAATCTCGTACAAAATTAATAGACAACTGTCATTTTTGATAGTTCGATAAAAGTATTGAATTTGACTAGTTGGAAAATACCGTATTATGTCCGGTGTATGTGATGACTTACCCCCTATTACATGGGACTCAGAACAAATTATGGCGTATTTAGATGATGCCCATCTCTTCAGGGATTAAAAGGCGTCACTTATCTGTTATGTATGTTAACGTAAGTTTATACTAAACCTGATCCTAATTCTAAACAAGACTTCACATTGCTTAAACAAAATTTAGATCAAAGTAAATACTTCTTAAGAAACTAGGGTTTTGAAGCACTCAGTTTTCGAGACGGTAACTTTATGCTTGTGCTTAGAACATAGCAAGTTAGTAACTTGAGCATAGGAATATAAGTTGAAATTACTGTAACATCGTTAACTCAACAGTTATCTCAGTTCAGCTTCTACGTAGCCTTGAGGTAATTCTACCTTTGCGACATACGGGTGGGTAGGAAGGAGAGCAATGTTTTTAATATCAGCCTGTAGTTTTTATCACCAATTTGGTTCATAAATGAAAATAAAATCATCACCAGTCTATGACAGTGCATAATATAATGTATTTGTGAGTAAATTATTATGTTTTCGGCTTACTCACGTAATTATTTGACGAGGAACTCGACTAGTTTCAAGCCATGCTAGAGGCTCATATTCATGAGCAGCATTTCGCGACCTGCGACGCGGCGACTGTCGCGCTGCTACTGGCTACTCGAGTCTGCGCTGCGAATGAATATGAGCCTCTAGCATGGCTTGAAACTAGTCAAGAAAACATAATAATTTATTTAGTATGTCCCACGAAAGTTCTAATTCAAATGTATTTGTGAGATTGTAAAAAGTACTTTTCTGAAAAGAGTATCGATGGAGTTTCTTTCTCGTTCTTCTCCATACCAAAATACACTTTGGAACGTTTACCTTATCAAGGATTAATTGAAATAATGTAAATGATTTGACTTTGACTTTGAGCGTTTGCCATATTCTCCATGCTTGGCAACGATCTCCAACCAACGGACTGGAGATTGTTTCTGACACAGATAGTGCTGCTACCCAGTCTCTGTAGTGCATCTCTTTATTTGAAAGGGGAGTATTATCGATTGACTTCTCTCGCTGGCTGCAGTGAGAAGGAGTATCAGACTCTTACGGATTGAAACCATTGCATTTCAACTTGTAGCGTCTGTATCCACAACTTGGGCTGAAATTTTCATTTTCATCATTTAGATTAATTCTCTCTGTTGCTACTTAGCTCGTCACTCCATCTATCTGTACGCGCAAAACTTCTAAATATTTCCGTTATTAGGCATATTGTAGTACAAGTTAGAAGTTGGCTGACTGATGAACGAGCACCTACTTAACTGCTTACCCCCTGTTTGCTAAGGTCCGTCGTAATGTCTGACATTAGGGAAGTTAATGTTCTACCAGGCTCTGCGTTTTGTTGAAGAATTAGTTTATTTTTGAGACTTGGTAGCAAGTGTGGGTTATGAGTATGACGTTTTGAGTTCATTCGAGGGTTGGTTAAAGTATTACTGTGGTTTGTTATGTTGTCCTTCTCAGCTCCTGTTTCATTAAACAAGTAACTAGTTGCGGAATCGATAGAATTATCTGTTTTCGAAATTCTCGTGAGTAGATATTTAGCATGTGGTCTGAAATTGCGAGAGATGTTGTTAAAGGCTTGCTCCCTATTCCTATTACGTGGTTTTATAACAATACTGGTGCAAAAGTCGATTTTGTTACCTAAATCAACAATATAGTACATTATTTCATCCTTTTTCTGAAAGTGTAGGCAGAAATACATTGACTTTACTCACGTTACTAAATTCGTTGAGTCAAACATTCCGGAAAGATAAATGAACAGCGAACAAACTTGAACTAGATTTTATTAATATACAAAAATAAATTATATACATCATACATCCTTACCTATTTACATACAGACTATTTAAACGACAAATATTTATTTATTTTATTAATGTACTGATGAGAAAGCACAGGTTTGTGTCCGAAAGTTAATCTATGTTTTAAATTAGCTATAGTGGAGTACAAGTAACTACTGGGAGTCGTAGGAGAATGGGCAGAATAAGGGAATGGAGAAGGAGTAGCGGATATTAGGTTATTATAATAATTAACGTTGGTATATAAACTGGATTTCTTAGGAGTTATTGCCACAACTATACTTTCAGTTACATCATCATTAGGCCTGACTGTAGACACAACATTACGCTGTCTATTCTCTTTTTCTGCGAAAAGTTCTTTTAATTCTTCATATGAAGGAGTAACTTTACCATTGGGTTCACCTTCATTATTCTCAAATTCCGCAAACTTGCTCTTATGATGGTCATTACCATGACTTAATTCTGAAGAATAATCCGCTATTTCTTGAGAAAATTTGAAATAGTCTTCATCTTTAGTTCTCTGTAATTTGTTCCTTTCTGACAATTTCTCATGATAATGTTTTAGGAATTCGTTGTTAGTATCTGTTAAGTCATCTACACGGTCTTTATTGACAGGTTTCGTTGTCTCTATTTGTTGTTTGTAATTTTGGAAATCATTTTGTTTTGGTGCATAATAGTTGTGTGGAATGTTGTTGTAGGCTGATGTGGGACGGTCTGCTGCGATGGAACTCTTTAGGATATTTGCTTCGTTATATCTTTGGTGTATATATTCTTCGTTCTCTAAGGAATCTTGATTGTCATTGTATACAGGGTGAATATGTTTGTATGTGACTGGTGTTGGAGGACGGTATATGTTTCCTTTAGTAACATCTACATCTACATTGTTATCTACTGTAGAATGTTCATCATATCTAACTTTAGCATTATAACCGTTCTCATCTGCAGTGTAGGAAACTATTTGCATTCTGCCATCTGGGAGCCGAACTCTATATTCTCCATTTGTTGCCGATCCTGTACTTTGCTGGGAATGTGAGAAGTCGTCGCCAGTTTTGTGGTCTTTCACTGTATAGGAGAACGCGTAGTTGTCGCCCTGAGAAAAGAAAATGTAGTTTATACAATAACCCTTTAATCACTGCTTAATTTGGAAGTTAAGTTGAAGACATATGATTGATATTTTTCTGTTTCCGAAATAATGGCTAACTAAAATTAGGAAGAATAAACTCAAGTGTCGCTATTGCCGGTTTTTGGCGGTAGATGGAAGTCATTCTGTGTGAAATACTGACATTCCAGTCGAATATTACCATTACTAATAAAAAATATGATTAAGACTAAGTTCCCAACTTAGCTATGAAGAATCTAGGTAAAAAAATGTAGGGTTTGGTTGGCTAATATTTAGAACATTCGTTTATCCTTGATTATAATCTTTACCTTAGTCCATGTAGGTAGAATGAGCAACATGCGCATAGTTAATGACTCTATAGAATGGTATACATCAACAGCCTATAATGTTTCCCACCGATGTTTTCCTTCACCGTTTGTCAGTGGTGTTTGAATAATCTTAGAAAGTACATATAACTCGGAAAAAGTCACATTGGTACTTGCCGTTCGCGTTCGTAGGTTTCGGACCCGTACCCTCATGCATGAGAAGTGTGCGTTTTAAACCTCCGGCCCACCATCATCACTAAATAATGGAAAACGAATTGTATAATAGTTAAATTCTTTTTCCGTAAATGAAATACTTACATGATTATATTCCTTGCTGTTCTCTGGTACAGCATCATAATTAAGCTGTTCAGGAGATTGGTCCTGTAAATGAAAAAAACAAATCCTAGTTAAAGAATAATAAGGATTTTCGTTTTCTCATTATACAAGCTCAAAAGTGGTTATCATGTCACTAGGAAGTTTTAACTATATCTAGGTAACTAACCATTAAACTAACTAATTTGCTCATAAATGCTTTAATTTTGATGTGATTCATGACCATAACACATACAGTAACATAGCTACTTGGAACTTACGACCCAAACGTTTGAAAGCATAGTTTCCAACGAGGTCGAAAAATATTTTGACTTTATGGTCATTTTTTATATCTAAGTTTCTTAGAATCACATCAGGAACCCTAGAACTAACCTGGTATTTATTATTCCCCACTATAGGAGTAGGTGTAGGTTCTTGATCTTGTTGAATATTGTTTCCATATTGAATAGGCCTGATGATTTTAGGCTGTTAAATAACAACATAAAATGTTAATACCTTGATCTCTTAACAGATTTTTTTAGATGAATAAAGCTAAAACTAACTTATGTACCATAATGAAACTAATATTAAGGAAAGAGAAACAAAATAATGTGTGAACAGAAAATATAAGTAAAACAGATTAATCAGCGATAACCGGAGGCTACGAGGCATTTACAGTGATCCCTATTATTATCCTGGAGAAACACACGAACACACAAACACACCTGCCATGAAACACGGGTACAATGGAGGTTATAATCAATCACAGGCCTGTGGAAGTGAATACAAAGAAATAATATCACGGATTCATTTTGTTGGTGGGCCAAAAAATCAGCGGGTAGAGGTACGATGATGGTAAAGGTGAGGTACGTAAGTGGTACAGGACAAAAATAATTAAGTTTAATTTTTTTTGTTTTGATTTGTTACAATTGTATGAAACATACAGAGGCCGGAGGCTACAATGATATTCTATGCGCTATACCCAATCAATGGACTACCGTTTTTCTTTATTAGATCAAAAATGTATTGATTGAGCATGACGAAGATGTTATTTTTAGCTATACGTGTTTAGTTCCAGAAACTTTACACTGACACAACGTGAAGATAATGAACGTCAGGTTGTTATCGACAGGATTTCATTGAAATTGATGCAAAGAAATAAATACTATAAGACACAACTAATGTCAGATAAGAATAAAATTCTAAATGGTAGGACAGAACAGATTCTACAACAGTGATACAATACAATGACTGATGATCTAAAGACGAAAATGTAGATGACTCGATATGACCCCATGAAAATTTCTTAATGATGATGAAATTTACGATGACAACAAAATTATTGTGACTAAAAACCTTTTTGTTCAAATCTTCATTCTGTTGATTTATTTCTTCCTGACGATATTTGAAACTGGCGTATTTAGTTAAAAAATTTTCGGTTTTGTCTTTCTGTTCGGTGCTAAGAATTTTCTTTATGTCATCATCTCGTGGCGGTGGATTTACTTCTTTATCTCTATATTGATCACTATCAGATTTATACGTGGGTCTTCTTTTAGGCAATATTGCTTCATTTTCACTATGTCTGTCCCATTCTCCACTTGACGATTGTTTGTTAGTCTTACGTACATTACTCTGTCCACGTGCCATAACTTCATCGTTGTAGGCTTGGTTAGTATTTGACTTATGATTTTGTATATTCACTAACTGTCGTAGTTTCACTGTTGGACGCTTATTCGGTTGTTTACCCTGATTAGGATTAGCTCGTGGTTTACTTGAAACATATGGACTGGAATCAGAATGTTTTTCGTGGCTAATACTGAAAAATTCTTGACTATTTGATGGATCCATTCTACGATTCCTATTTCTCATTTTACTTTCTGTTGTAGGGTTGAAGATTTCTCTATCATTTTGATTGAATTTCTTCACACTGAGCAAAGATTTTGCTTGTATTTCTTTAGCGTTGCTGTACAATTTTCTGTTTATATTTTTTTTGTTTATATTAAAGATTGGTGGTTTTGAATCGTCGTCTTCCATAGTTGCACGTTTTTGTCGAAGACTCTTTTTTGGTGAAAAAGAAAAAGTATTACAGTTAATTTAAGATTATTTACAAGAAACTTCATAAGATTGTTTAATTTCTATACTACTGGTTTAAATACCATAATTGCTGAGAACTATTATATAACTTTGCATGGTTGAAAAGAGCTGGGACTATGGATTTAGAATTTATATTATTCGAAACAATTCATATTACGCATGCCATTTGATTTAAAAAAAATACTAATTATTGAAATTGGTTCAAAAAATACTTTTATTCACATCAACTTCAGGACTGACGTACTAAACAATGACCCTTCTTTTTGGTAAATAGGAACATTTATACTTGAACTTACATCACTTTCATCGGAATCAATCATGTTATTATGTTCATCCTGGTTTTCATGATGATCAGCCACTTGATGGTTATAATCAGCTTCTCTGCTATACAACGAACTATGATACACCTTGATTTGCTTGCTTTTAACTTTATCGTCAAAATTAGCCTTCCTTGGGTTGTTAATTCTTGGTGACTAATTAAAAAGTTTTATCATTAATTTCATTGATTATTGCATAATTTGTATCTATATCTAAGGAGAGAACTAAATGTTTGTGAGAGCCATGCTTCGGCCCGAATGGGCCGGAGTGATACCACGGCCTCACAGAAAGGGGAAGCAAAACTTTGCCTGCTGCATATTTCGTCGTATGAGGGAGCATATCGGAGGCCCAATTATCAGTCTCCACAATCCCCTCAATCCTCAAACCCATAACAATCCTCAAATTCCTAATACCCACAAGGCCGGCAACGCATTTATAACGCCTCTGGTGTTTCGGGTGTCCACGAGCGACGTCGATTACTTACCATCAGGTGATCGTTTGCTCGCTTATCATTAAAGTGACTGACAATATTTTAGTTTTATTGAGAGTCCATTTTGCAATGTAATGTTATGTGGCTGATTGTACCAGTAATCCGAAATAGAACAGAAAATAAAGAAGAATTTATTTTTCTTTCTTTCTAGAACACAATAATAGTAGTAGGAATTAATAGATTCGGGGAACATTAGGTCTCTCTATGCCTCTATAACAGTCTATCGTCCTGTTTCTATCTAATTCCACTTGAATCAAAATATATGGTAGTGATAAGACTGACTGGATCTAAAGCGACACAGGTGCCCTCTGCTGAGATCAAACTCGCTATCGCATCAACTAAAAATGTTTATATTTAGAATAAGAATTTAAAAGTAAACCTGTTCGATTCTCCGACGGTAAATAGGACGCTCCCAAAGATTTATTCCTTTGGTTTCGTTTTTTCTCGGTTGAAAAGAATCCATCAAATGTTTCTGATAATATTAAATTAAAAACTGTTTGAAAAATATTATTCTGTTTCAATATTCTAGTGCTCGATACCACGCCGATAGGACGGTTAAGTAGCTATACGTATAATTATTTACAGATAATAACGTAAGGCCTCGTGTCTTCGCTACCCCTAATAGATGGAACAATTAATAGTATCTGGTAGAAAGTGGATGTGCGACCATCTTAATACTATTTTTATAGTTTAGACTATTATCATCATCATGAGATCCACTTTAAATTAAGTTTCCATCCACTCATTTCTCTCAAAAACTTCACTAAAACACACTAAACGTAACCGACCCCGAGCCTCAATCCTATCGTTTGAGAGACAATCGCTTATTTTCTAGCCTAACACTGAATCTAGATTTAGAAAAAGATGGCAAGTCATCATAAAATAGAACGCGTGTAACTGCGAGTCAGCCTAAACGTTTATTGACTTGGTCTTGGCCTTGGGCATTATAGAAAAAAAGATGTAGATGCATTGAAATATACTAAAGATATTATGGAGACAGATGATGGAATTGTGCACGGTATATGGCAATAGGCTCACCCCCATATTACATGGGACTCATAACATAAATAGTGAAAAGTGGGTGTTACATTGTACAGTGGCATTAAGTGCCGTAATGTGCACCTCTGCCTACCCCTTCGGGGATAAAAGGCGTGATGTCATTATGTTATGACGGCACATCAAGATATACTACATTTTAAAATAATTTTGAACTTTATTGTTTTTCTATAAAGCCTAAAATCGTCTGTAGAAATATAGTTTGTGTTTCTAAGCCCTTTCTTTACCATAAGACATTCTTTACCATAAGGGCAATCAGGGTCGTGGCCAGGGCCCCCATCTTCAGAGGGGGGCCCTCTTCGCAGGACCGACAATTCGCTATACCCGTGTCCGATTTCCACACGGAGCAAATCTTTATGTGAGCCACAAATTGTTGTTCCGAGTCTGTATGTCATGTGCTTGTGAACTTGTATGTTTGTAAATGCACCCACGATACAGGAGAAAATCCTAGTGTGGTGCAATGTTAAAAAGATACGTTCCATTTGCCCCGAGTATGTGTCCTAAAAATCTGTCCAACGGCCCCAGCGTTGTCTCTGCCGGGTAATCAGATCTGGATGTATAAAAGATCCTATATCAAATACTTACTTTCGTACTATTACCCTGAAATTCGCGAACGATGAATGATACACATTAGTAACTTGAAAAGTTGTATAGATGGATAGACTCCTCCTCTTTTAAATTCTTTACTCACCTTGACTTACAAGATTCTATTATTAGTAAAGACCTAGTTGCGTTAACTTGGTTAGAGTTGTGTTAGATATGCGCTCTTACATTAAGACCAGATCACAAAATGAGATCTCTAACCTTTTAGGCATCTCTATATAAATAACTAGCTTCTGCCAGCGGTTTCGCCCGCGTTCCCTTAAAAAAGTGGCCTATGTGATATATCAGACCATCATTTCCATCTCGATCCTTTCAGCCATTTTGATGTGAAAGAGTAACAAACACACATACATCCTCACATTCTTTCGCATTTATGACATTGTAGTAGGATTGAGGACATATCACATTAATATCACATCCACAGAATACAATCCAGAAAATATTATGTGCAGGAGATGGGGTAAAAACAACAAGAAAGCTAGTGTTGCCGGTGCGACGGTGTCAAGCCAATGACACCCTTGCAGTTGTGTGTTGTGGATATTTTCGAAAAAACTTTCATTTTCTTGAGATACTTTTGCATAAGCATAATATATTTTTGCCATTGTCATTGGTCTATAGTTGATATTGGTAAAGTTCACTATTTTTAAAACTATACAACTATTACGACAGCCTCATTGGCCGAGTGGTCGCAAGTGCGACTGCCGGGCAAGGGGTCTCGGGTATTATCGGGTTTTAAAAAAGTCTCAGTAGTAGCACGGAGTCTGGAAAAGTGTCCGGTATATGGCAATAGGGTCACTCCCTATTACATGGGACTCATACCATAAATTGTGAAAAGTGTGTGTTATATTGTACACAGGCACTTAGTGTTGTAATGTGCACCTTTGCCAGGCACTTAGTGTTGTAATGTGCACCTTTGCCAGGCACTTAGTGTTGTAATGTGCACCTCTTCGGGGTTAAAAGGCATGATGTTATGTTATGTTATGTTTTTAAAATTATCTACAAGCTGCTACTGGTATGCACAAATATTAAATAACCTAAAATGCATTGGGAATCGTGGCGCTACAGTGCATTCTCATTATATAAAAACTACTAAAAAACGTACCTCATATTGCCTGTAAAAATTCTCCTGCTCTGGTCTGTCAGTGGTCGCAATATACCCAACATTTGGGGGTCTGTAGTCATACACAGGGGTCGAAGGCCCTCCATAGGCAAAGGGCTTATAGCTCCTGGTCCTGGTCAGGTAATCAGGTCTGAATTGGACCTGGTGGTACTGGGATTGGGCTGCTACGCTGTTGTTGGGGTTCAGCTCACTCCTGGCTATGGATTCGATGAGGGGTCGCGAAGTCACTATTAATGGTGTCGGGGGCGGCGGCGGTGCATCGTTTGGGAATAGTATGGGGCCGTTTCTGAAAATAAAATGTTCATTAAAAACATTACCTTGCCTTGGGATTTTCTCCTGTGTCGTTGGTTTATATGTTCTGTGGTCCAAACATACATTACACTAATAATATTAATGTGAAAGTTTAAAGTAATGAAAGAAGTATACAGAGCGCATATGAATGGGGCCGTCGGTAGAGGGCGCCCTAGACGGGCCTATACTGATCAAATTGGCGACATATTACAGAAGGGCCAAATTAAAAGTACCCTTAACCAACGAGCATGCATGAAAATATTGATGACTGTTGATGGAGCGAAAGAGGTATGTAGAATTCGCAACAATTGGCGTTCCATAGTCTCTGCCTACCTCCATGGGAGACAGGCGTGAAGATATGTATGTATGTATGAAAGTTTCTTTGTTTGGATGTTTATCCGTTGTCCGTCAATCACGCTGAAACTACTGAATGGTTTTTGATGAAATATCGTATACAGGCAGGGTATAGGCTGACCTAGGTGATGTTAAATGCTCTCGTGGTATAAAACAGGAATACGTGGGCAAAGCCGCGGGTAAAAGATAGTTACGTATAATTTCATATGCACGGAATATAGTTGTATTCTATATTCCGTGTTCATATGCCTATACTAATCACACAATTTGGGTGTTTCTTTGTGTGAATAAAGAGTGGTTTTCGTATGGGAATCGAACTCACGACACGTCGTCAAGTAGCTGGTTGCCATGCATTCACATTTTGCAGATATACTTTTCGAAAGTAATAGAGTTAAAACGCCTAATAATAACACCTGAGGCATCACCAATGCGTTACTTTTGTAACTAAAAATTACAGAAATAAGCGTTGAGTAACAAAAGTAACAGGGAACACATTCTTCATTTGTTTTTCATTTTAGCATATCTTAGCACACACAATATCAGTAGGTAACAATAAAACCAGTTATGTCAAAAAGGTATATACATAAATATTTATATACAATAGCTATTAAATTCAAGATAGGCATACTTTTCCTAAGAATAGACATATTCTTCGATTTCTTATTTTTCCTATGCTTAACTATGAGTTTTTGAATTGTGCATCAGTGTAGTCTCTAATCAAATATAAGATCAGCCTCCAAACCCTCTCAAGTCTGAATCACTAAGTGTGGGAGAGCCATGCTTCGGCACGAATGGGCCGGCTCGACCGGAGTGATACCACGGCCTAACAGAATACCGACGTGAAGCAACGCTTGCATTGTGTTTCGTCGTGTGAGTGAGGTTACCGGAGGCCCAATTACTCTCCCCTTCCCCAATCACCCCAATCCCTGAATCCCCAAACGATTCTCAAACTCCTAATCCCCAAATGGCCGGTAACGAACTTGTAACGCCTCTGGTGTTCCAGGTGTCCATGGGCGACGCCGATTGCTTTCTATCAGGTGATCCGTCTGCTCGTTTACCGGCTTATGCCGTAAAAAAATCAAATTCGAGACATGGATTCTCGAATGACACATAGGCTTTTTATCCTGATCGCGCGGGCGAAACTACTGGCAGAAACTAGTCATTGTATAAAAACAAAAACAAAAAACTTAACCTACTAATCGCCCTGACTTTGCTTGCTTCCCGAGTTCCTACAGAACGTGATAATACAAGAAAATAATATCCAGCTAATGTTAAATCAATACTGCAGTTTGTACCAATGCTTGTAACTGTTCGATTTAAACTTACCCAGTTATCGTTAACGAGTGCCTTACACGTTCACCGCAACGATTTCTTGGTTAATTTCTGTGAATTCTCTGAGTTATTGTTAACTAGCTTTTACCCGCGGCTTCGCTCGCGTCACAAAAGGATAAAAAGTAGCCTATGTGACATATACCAATACACACAGCGCCATCTATACCAATACTTTTTTTTCTTCGGGAATATCAAATCTTTCCGGGATAAAAGTACCCTATAATTTAATCCGAACTTCTAACTTTACGTCTGCAAAAATTCAAAGCAATCGGTTTAGTAGTTACGGTGTGAAAGCGGAACAAACAAACAAACAAACAAACTCACTTTCCGATTTATAATATTAGTAAAGTTTGGTTCGATTTGTTAATAATTACGACTGTTTCTTCTGAGCTAGCCATATTGTCGGGAGAGGGAAAGGATACATTTGTCTTGTCCTTACCATCACCGCTTCTCTTTATCGCAGGTATCGAAAGCGGATACTCGGTTTGATAAAGACCGGCCAGCAGAGCTCTCTGACAAACTGTGACTCCTCTGGTGTTGCGGGTGTCCATGGACGGCGCTGATCGATTAACATCAGGTGATCCGTCTGCTAGTTTGCCTCCTATCCCAAAAAAAACCCGAACCTTTAAACTGCGATGTCCAAGCGTGAAGACTATTGGAACCACTCTTATGTTGACGTTTATAGTCCAGTCTATAGTCTGGTGTCCTGTTGGCAGGTTTTTTTTTTATTGAGGGGGTACAGTCATCCAATGATTTCTTCCACCTTGGGTTAGCCGAGAGGTAGTGTCAGACTCTTACTGTCTAAAAACCACCCCGTTCCTACTCCTGCTCTTCAAGCCGGAGCCCCGGCAACCCGTTAGGTCTTCCGAATTAGGCATCAGCTCTACTGGGCTTGTTAGTGGAATTGGAAATCATATTTTAAAAGGATTGTCTTAAAGTGCTACTATCCAATATCTGTCAAATGTCCCTTAGTCAGCTTTTACGAAAATCGCAAGCAGAGTACAAGTGGAGGCAAAAAAGGTATTTCACGTTGCTGTTACTACATGGTCGATGGCGATGGCTTACATCAACATCGTTTATCTCAATCTATCCTGCTGCTGTAGCCAAATGCCATTTAGCGCTTGTCTACATGTAGAATAGAAAACCAAAGTATATGGAATTGACGTAAATTTTGACACTTGTCAGTGTCATCCCCATACATTTTGATTTCTCTGTAGACAAGCGCTAAAGTGGCTTTTGGCTAAAGGCCCCTGTAATGACTGATTACAACGATATTCTATTGTTTTTATTTGAAAGACTAATATATGTCAACTGGCACATTCTCACACCATACGCCAATCCGAGAATGAATGCAAGTACAACCGATTAGCTAGAATTTTCCCATCAATTTGACATAAAAACTTTACTATTTGTCTAAGTGTCTTTGTTATGAGAGGAAGTAGGTAGGGCTTGTCTAAGTCCTTGGTTTGGTGCTTAGGTTTAAAATTTTGCTAAGTACCTATAGGTTCTATTGACCGGGAGACTTAAAGTGTAGTAGTCATCTATTGACTGCCTCGTTGGCCGAGTGGTTGCAATTGCGACTGCCGGGCAAGGGGTCTCGGGTTCGATTCCCGAGTCGGGCAAAGTACCTATTACTGGGTTTAAAAAAAAAATCTCAGTAGTAGTACGGAGTCTGGAACTGTGCCCGGTATATGGCAATAGGCTCACCCCCTATCACATGGGACTCATAACATAAATAGTGAAAAGTGGGTGTTACATTGTACAGTGGTAGAATGTGCACCTCTGCCTACCCCTTCGAGGATAAAAGGCGTGATGTTATGTTATGTCATCTATTCAGCAAGGGATCTTTTTAGGGAATTTATCCCTAACCGAAAATAAAACAGATTTTTTATGTAACCTTATTCTTCTGGTGGAAAGTAAATAAAATGTCTGAACGTAAAGATATGTGTAAGTTATTACAGAATTGTAAACAAAATCAATAATAATATACACGTATGTATTGTTGTTTATATTTCAATGCCGCTCAGTATGCTATTTATTCCAAGCATGTGCTATTAAGATAACGTAAAACAAATAATTATTTTCAAATTTACTTATGGTAAAAATCTTTTGTATATACTACATATTTTGTATATACTACATATTTTATGACACACTTCCATTGTTTTTTTAAGTTCAAGACAATAGTTAAATGGATGCATAAAATTATGTCAGATATGGAAAAATATTTATTTATTTCTTCTTCGCAAAAATAACAGTGAATGGCGGACTTAATGCCTTAAGGCATTCTCTGACAGTCAACCATAGGGAAGAGCAGAGAAATGAAGCGGTTAATACGAAACCAGAACACAATTAAAAAGATGGTTAAATAATATGTATACTACACACATAAAAACCTATAGGATAAATATATTAATACAATGTATATATATAAAAGAAAGTCGTGTTAGTTACACTATTTATAACTCAAGAATGGCTAAATCGATTTGGATGAAAATTGGTGGGGAGGTAGCTTAGAACCAGGAGACGGACATAGAATAATTTTTAACCAATTCTTTTTTTTACTTTTTACCGAAAATCAAGAACGGGGACGGGAAATATCGGGATTGCGCGTACGAAGTCGCGGGCGGAAGCTAGTATTTTATAAATCTAAATCTAAGACATACATACTATATAATAAACGAATACTTATACATGTTTTTTTGAGACTTCTGCCGCCTTGAAACGAATATATAAACCAACTACACAAATGTTACAATACATTATAGAACTTTGTCAAAATGGTTCCCGCAATGGTTTTGAGTCTGCCAATGCTTAAATAAATGCTCGCAGACTTTAGATTTAAAGGAACTGCGATTTATATAAAAATACTAGATGAGTAAACGATTAGGTACATCTTTACAAGATTCGATAAAGACTTCCCTCTCATTGGCTAGTCTCTTACAATCCGCACACTTGGAATCTGACTTGAAAAAAAATGCAATTTGGTCGTATTTGGTCGGTCGACGATTGTCCATTATCTCGCCTGGTAGTAAGCGATGATGCGGTCTACGATGGACATTACATTATATGAGTAAATTCATATAATATAGAATAAAGAAGATCTATGTAATATAATGTCCTTCACTAAAAATAAAATGTTGGTTTTTTATGGCATAAGTCGGTAAACGAGCAGACGGATCACCTGATGGTAAGCAATTGGCGTCGCCCATGGACACTTGGAACACCAGACGCGTTACAAGTGCGTTACCGGCCTTTTGGAGATTAGGAGTTTGAGGATCGTTGGGGATTCAGGGATTGTGGACATTGAGGGAGGGGAAGGGAGTAATTGGGCCTCCGGTAATCTCACTTACACGACGAAACACAACGCAAGCGTTACTTCACGTCGGCTTTCTGTGAGGCCGTGGTATCAATCCGGTCGAGCCGGCCCATTCGTACCTAAGCATCTCCCACTCTTAAAATCATACTGTTCATACAATTGTTATAATTTCAGGCTATATTATCCGGGTCTATTAAACGTATGTTATGATATCAGTCCAATTGTAATAGAGAGGGCAAATCTTTTGTTTTAAGTAGGCTACAGTTCATGACTATGTATATACTATTATTGTTACTGAGAATAATTTTGAAACGCAGAAATTTAAACACAATGAACGAAAATATGATTGGTATTTTAGGAATTGACTGTAGTAATACAGATTCTGTATTGTGCGAGGTATTTAGAAAATGTATCTTTTGTTATTAAATATGAATTATCTCAATTGTGGTTTATCCTTGCATGGTTTTGCGTTCATTATGTTGTGTACATATATTTCTATTCTATTTTTTAAACAATTACTTTAAAACAATATTATGATAGCAACTTTAAAAGAATATTACGATAGCAACTTGAATGTCATGGTGGCCCGTAGGCTTAGGACGCCCGTTTCTTATGTTTCTTGCATTTTCGAAATCTACCAACGGCAAGTACCAATGTGACTTTTTCCGAGTTATAGGTATGTACTTTCTAAGATTATTTAGACACCATTGAAGATCGTGAGGAAACCTGCGCTTATAATTTCTAATTATAAAGTTTGAAATTGCTAACCCGCATTGGGCATGCGTGGTGATTAATGTTCAAACCTTCTTCGTGTGAGAAGAGGCCTTTGATCAGCAGTAGCCACTAATAAGCTGTTGAATATGGTGATGAACTAGAATAGTTTGGCTCCATCAAGGAAGTATTACTCTCTCACAGAATACCAGTGTTAAATGGTACCATATCTGAGGAGCTCTCCTTCCCAGAAACAATGGCTCAATTAGACAGTTTCCTACTTGCAAGCAACGCATTTGTGATACCTTTGGTGTTCCAAATGTTCCAACCAACCGCTTCTAAACCATCTTAGTTATATTATATTTTTTCTCCTTAACCGTCTCTTAGTCTAGAGTTCTTTTGCGTGAGGAGTACCTAAACTAACCTCTTACCTGTTACCTTTAGGTGGCAGTTATAGTTTGATGAAAACAAAAATGTTATTGTGTCACTTATAAATAGAGGTTGGTCAAAATGGGCATTAGAATACAATGGCCGATTGTCATCAGGTAGGCCTTAAAGTGTGTTTCAATTATACTTCGTAGAATAAAAGAAATCTGAAGGAAGAAGCGATCAAAGTATTGCGGGTTTTAAAAAAAAAAACTCAGTAGTTTCACAGTAATTTGTGCCCAGTATATGGCAATAGGCTCACCCTCTATTACATGGGACGTATAACATAAATAGTGAAAAGTGAATGTTACTCTGTAAAGTGGTATTAAGTACCGTAATATGTCTACCCCTTCTGGAATAATATGTGGGATGTTGTTATGAATAAAAGGAATCAACAATATTATGAAGTACCTACGTATGTACTTACTTTGAAGTCTTGTGGTCTACAAACTGGACAGTATTGAACGGGAGTCTGTAGGGGTTATCCTTTGAAGAAAGATTGTCTTCGTCTTCCTGCAGTCTCACTCCTGGCAGAAGCAGGAGCAGGAGGAACCACATTGTGACGTCTTATGATATAATCTGGAAAGGAGAAATTGAGCAGCACATTAAATATGAATTGAAAGCTGGCAATGGATTCCATTTCATAGGTTTCAGATGCCCGCTTCTCATGCATGAGGGTGCAGTTTTAAAACCTATCAACGGCTAGTACCAATGTGACTTTTTCTGAGTTATATGTACTTTCTAAGATTATCTAGACACCACTGACAAACGGCGAAGGAAAACATCGTGAGGAAACCTGGCCTTATAATTTCTAATTATAAGTTTGTAATCGCCAACCCGCATTGAGCAAGCGTGGTGATTAATGCTTAACCCTTCTCCGTGTGAGAAGAGGCTTTGCTCAGCAGTAAGCATTCATAGGCTGTTATTTATGATGAATGGATTTTCAAATTTTTTTTTTTTTCAGAAACTCTTCTTATGAAGGTGTCTATCTACTGACTGCCTCGTTGGCTGAGTTCTGTCGCAAGTGCTCCTACTCCGCAAGGGGTCTCGGGTTCGATTCATGGTTTGTCATGGTCATGGTTTTAAAATAAAATGTCAGTGGTAGCACGGAGTTTGGAATTGTACCGGTATATGGCAATAGGCTTACCCCCTATTACATGACACTCATAACATAAATAGTAAAAAGTGAGTGTTACATTGTACAGTGGCATAATGTGCACCTCTGCCTATCCCTTAGGGGATAAAAGGCGAGATGTTATGATGTTATGTTGTAAAACACGATTAGCCTATTTCAATAAAACCAAACCCACGGCCTTGTTCTAACCAACCACATAAACAACACTTCAACCTAACTTGTCAATATTTCAATCCTCGAAGTCGAACAAAGAGTAGTATTGCCCTAATTTTCACATAATTAACAATCGTAAGTACTTTAATAGTTTTTAGTTAACCAAGTTACTTGAATAAGTTACGTTATATGCGATAAGCCAATAATGCTGCGATTACAGCGTGAGAACCAAGTTAAAATTTAACCGTTCATGTGAAGGTATTTTGTGGAGATTTGTTTTTTTGCTGGAGTTCTGTGATGTCATTTGACGAGTAGATTTATCACCTTTTTTTGTTTAAGCAATTCTATTTTGACTTCTACAATAAAACATCACGCCTTTTATCTCCGAAGGCGTAGGCAGAGGAGCACTTTACGGCACTTAATGCCACACTTTTTTTCTTTCATGTTTTATGGTTTTAATTATTATAATTTCCATTTGACTGCCTCGTTGGCCGAGTGGTCGCAAGTGCGACTGCCGGGCAAGGGGTCTCAAGTTCGATTCCCGGGACAAAGTATTATTGGGTTTTACGAAAATTCTCAGTAGTAGTACGGAGTCTGGAATTTTGCCCGGTATATAGCAATAGGCTCACCCCCTATTAGATGGCACTCATAACATAAATAGTGAAAAGTGGGTGTTATATTATACAGTGGCATAATGTGCGCCTTTGCCTACCCCTCCGGGGATAAAAGGCGTGATATTATGTTTTGCAATAATTGATCATCATGTTTTTGATTCAATAATTCTCAGTGCTGAATTTTAAATTATGATTTAATCTGGACTCAGCTATAGATAACTGCAGTGCTTTTATGGAATAGAGGGCAAACCAGCGGATAGATCACCTTATGGTAAGTGGTCAGCACGACCTATGGACAGTTGTAACACCAGAGAGGTTACCTAAGTACTGTATTATGAACTTTTGAATTTGAGGATTGGCAATAATGAAAACTGATAGGCTAGTTGGAAAATTTAGTAGAATAGATTCAAGGTTATAAGAGACTTGGTCTCTGTTAAATAGGTAGTTTTGTGCTTACGACATGGCTTTAGGAGAGTGAAGACATTATGTTAACTACAGCACACAACTACACAATACATCACTGATTTGAAATTCCTTTCTAAAAACAATCCCTGAATCCCGAACAATCCTCAAATTCCTAATCCCCAAATGGCCGGCGACACATTTTTAACTTTGGTGTTCCAAGTGATCCGTCAAAGTCAAGATCATTTATGTCAATTAGACCAGGAAGGCACTTTTGAACGTCAACAAAAAAATTAGAAGTGAAGCTAGTTGCTCATTCCAAGGTGTAGATTCCTATGGAGAAGAACGAGCAAGAAACTCCATAGGTTACTCTTTTTCAATCGGGTTTACAATTTTACAATGCTCGTTTACCGGCTTATCCCATTAAAAAACTGTCATAACATCCTTTATACATTCAGTTCTGAGAAAGGGAGAAAACACACAATAAGAAAGAGACGCTAATCTCAACATGTACTGTGGGAAGTAGGCAATTGTTACACGTATGCGATGAGCTAACTATCTTACTAATTACTATGAATGCTATACTAACCAGTTTCTCATGATCTTGCTTTGTAAGATCTTCCTGCACAATCGACGGTCAGTTTATACTGGTTTTCATAGCTCGAAGTGTAGCCGTAGATATGTACCTATTATTTCCCGGCCATTGTTCTATGCAATCATATTGCGCGCGAAAATATTATACCGATTTTTGAAATTTTCGCTGTTTGAAAAATTCTGTTAGTATTGCAGTCTTTGATAATTCTGTGTGCCACGGTGAACAAATAGGTATGCTTATTACGGAATGGAATAGCAGTATATTAATGAAATTTTTGAATTAAGAAAAATGAAGTTGTGACGTTTTTAAGGTGTTAATCACCGAATGACTTCTCCCGCCCGGGTGAGGCTACAGGGAGTGTCAAACTCTTACTAACTAAAAACAACTATGTTCCTACACCTGCACTTCGAGCCGGAGCCCCAGTAACCTTTTACGTTCTCCGGGGCTCTGTATCAGCATCAGCCTTATTGGGCCCCATCCGTGGTGGTCTGATGGCTCTTTGAGGCGCGCGCAGAACGCGACGCGCCGTACGTTCAGGAAAGTAGATAAAACTGAGTTGCAAAAAGTTGTTCCCAAACACGTGGTAATTACATTTCCACAAACTGCAGTTCTAAATTAATATTGCTTTCTACTGAATATTTGGTTTGATGCAAAGTGAAGTTTTAATGAATTACACTTAATGTGATATCAGGTGATCCGTTTGCTTATTTGCCATTAGATCTGTTTAGTAAGTTATTTAGGTACTTTTTTTTTGTCTAAGCCTAGGTCATATAGGATTATCAGTTGAGTAATATAGGCCCAATAGCCTTCTTAACGGAAGGTGCCTATTGTTATACGTATGAATGAATGGACTCACACTTTCTGTAAAGGATAATGAAACATAAAATGTGTACTGTAATGACTCAATTTAAAGAGATACAAACCCTTACAAATTAAATACATGATTGAAAAGAAAGTTCAAATTAATAGTACCAAAATCGAAAAAGAAAACTATCTATTGAAATATTTACATTCAGTACAATAAAATATAACAAAAATATAAATAAACCACAGCTAACAAAAGTCCATCCTACGCTTACAAACTAAATAACGCCAATAACAAAAAAAAAGAAAAAAAATTCCCCTCACACATATTTCTTTCATTCATCAAAACAACAATGGCGGCGCATGCAAATGGCGTTCGCACGGAGCGCGGGAAAACAATCGGTTGCCATGACAACGCCAATATGGCGGATATTTGTGACACGCGCTCACACGCCGCCATGCATCAAGATAACAAACGCATTGTTTTAGATTGATTGGGTCAAAGTAATTATTGAAGGGTTATTTTACGTTTAGAAATGTGTTTGTTTGATTACTATTTTTCTATTTAAATGCTAGATTCTCTTATGTAGAAACATAACATTGCATTTTCTCAATGATAGTTGGAATTTTTATTAGACTTACGTATATCAACGACTTACGAATATTGACGTATACTTGACAGTGACAGTTATGTTCATCATTTACCGAAACCCTTTGCTTTGACGATCAACATTACAACAATGTTTGTAGTTTAAAAATGACTTCTGTAGTTTTTCTCATTTACCAAAAAGTAAATGTCCTATGCACAATTCTGCCTATCCTTATAGAAAACATATTTTAACATTTTTACAAACAACCCTTAAACCATCTCTTAACTAAAAGTTATTTCACGTTACTCCTAAACTACTTGTACTAGGTGTCATTCATAGGTTGGTGAAAACCAAAATGATGTTAAGTGTCACCTATTTTAGCTTAGGGGTTCCTTGAAATTTAGAAGAGGATATTGATAATGGTCAAAGGTACATTATTCTAAGTTGACACTCACTTAACCCATTTCCAAAATTAATATTTTATTGACAACTTCCGAAGTTTGTTGTTGTTGACATTTCTGACAGATGTGGGCGGCTGTAATACTGAAATACTGAAACACTGTTTCGAGAACCGTAAATGTCACGTTTGAAAGCTTCAGGATGTCATTTCAGGAAGGAAGGAACTGTAGGTAGGTACTATTTTATAATACTTGTTGTATTGTAAGTAGTATGAAAATAACGTTGATCGTAAAAACATAAAAGCGTGGGAGAGCCATGTGTGTGGGCCGGCTCGACCGGAGTGATACCACGGATTCACACAAAACCAACGTGTAACAATTGCGTTGATTTCCATGTGAGTGAGGTGTCCAAGGGTCCAAGCCTTCTCCCCCATTTCTAACCTGACCAATTCGACCCGACCTACAACCGAGGGGAGAATATGGGACATTCTAATGACTAATAGTAATAGTATTTTTTATGGTATAAACCGGCCGGTACACGAGCAGACGGATCACCTGATGGTAAGCAATCGGCGTCGCCTATCGGCACCTGGAATACCAGAGGCGTTACATGTGCGTTAACGGACTTTTGGGATTAGGAATTTGAGGATTGGATTTGGGGACTCGGGTATGTAAGGGGTATTTTCTTCAGTGGGTTGATGGTGAGGGGTACTCTATTCTGTAGTTCCCATTTTACCATTTCTTTCAAAGTTATTATTTTGTGAAATTATTTAGTTTTTCATAACCCAATCAAAACTAATAACCTCCTTTGTTCAAATCGGTTAAACAGAAAGTTAACCTCTAATAAAACGAGTCAGCAATATTTAT